AAAGCTACTGGATCAGTTGAAGGACTTCATAATCGACACAATTACGTGAAAACAGTTCGTCAAGCCATTAATCAATTATCAAAAAAGTTATTAAATAAAACAATAGAAATAAGCATGCTTAAAAATGTTCTTGCTTATGATGATAATAAATTATTAGCTTACTTTTCTACGATTGTTGATAATAAAATTACCAAGAATATTCTTAAGGATCTTCGAGATAGTTATGAATCATATATTAACAAATTAAAGAAACTTGACGTTTTCTATAAACGATTTTGTGGAAAAGCCACAGATAAACAAGTTTATATTCAAGATATAGAAACAAAAATAAATATGCAAGAAAATGTTGCTCTTGAAAACACAACAAAAGAATCATTCTGGAAAATTCATAATCCTATTATAGAGGTAGCACAGAATTCTTATATTTATGCAGATTCTCAAACATTTAAAAATGTTTTTGATAAATGTTTAAATACGATTGGAGAGAAATTAACGGTTGAATTGATTGCCTTAAAATATATACGTACAGCACTTTTAGATTATGATAATTTAAGAGCAGAATATAAAGATTGGACAAAACTTGAATGTTCAAAAATTAGTCCATTTTGGAAAGGCGTTGAAGTTAAAAATATTGATCATGAACTTGAATTAATTTCTCGTGATATGAAATGGCAACCAAAAGATAACTTGAAAAAGGCTGTAAGTTATCTTGCTCATATTAAGTCATGGAGAGAACGACTTAATGATTTAGGAAAAACCTTGAAAAATTTTAGAGTTCAAGATGTTGCTGATAGTTGGGTAGCTCATGTTCATAATAGGTTACTCAAAGACTCTTTAACACTTTTAGAATTATATAATGCTTTTAATGAAGCAAATAAACATATTCATAATCTTGATGATAATTGTTGGGCAATGATTGGTGCTTTATCTTTTGCTGGTGATTTCATTTCTTGGCTTCAAACAATAGCAGAAGGTGATTTAAGAAATTTAATTAATGGAGTAGATGATAAACGTGAAGTTCAAGATGAAACTGTTGCTTCATTGATTGAAGTTAAACAATTTTTGGCTCCTCTTATTAAAGATATGGTAAAACTTTTTAAGGAAGGAAAATCCACACTTACGGTCATAACTAAATTTTTAGATCATGTTTATAAGATAACTTTAAAGAATGAATCTTTACATGAAAAAATAACACAATGTTGTTCAAGTAGTATTGCTCTTCAAAATATTTACTTTAGTATATTGAATAGAGGTGAAGTAACTAAGGAGAGAATTAAGGATGCTGCTACAAGAGGTTTATACCAATTCTATCGTGATGAAAATCATGATAAATGTGTGGTAGAATTATTATGTAAAGACAAGTCAGGATCGATGAATAACTATGATCTTTCTGGTTTACAAGATTTACAAGGACAAGCTCTTTTGATCGCAAAACAAGCTGCATCGGCTTTTGTTTTACGTTTACCGATTGAAAGTGAAAGTAGTCTGGAACAAGGAACTGATGAACTGATGAAATTTGTACAACAAGTAGATACAGTACACCATATCATAAAATATGCTTCTCAGTTAATGGAATTGGGTCATTTTTCATATAGAGAATGGAGTATATCTGTGGTTTCCACGGAAAATATGGTAACACTCCTTGAAAAGCTTAAAGATGATCTAAAAGAATGGTAAATATAGTATTATTTTTAATTATTAAATTTTAATCATCATAAATTTTAACCATCATAAATTTTAAAAATTTCAATAGGGAAGATACTATGAAACGAGCACAAGAAAAGCATTATTATTTAACCTTCTATACTGCTAAACATATTTTAGCATTTTATGATTATTTCAGTTGCAATGGCAAAGTTGACTCAAAGACTCGCGAGACATGTGAGACATTACTTCGATTTGTGAGTAAAGGAGCAAAATTACCACCAAATAATGGCGATATAAAAATCGATACATATCACACAAACTTTTACGAAGTTCTCTGCAAAATAGGTGGAAAATTATATAAAATCTTTACACAACAATATGAATATCCTCGACAAATTAATGCAAACTTAGAACCAATTATGTCAGATGTGGTTTATTCGGGTAAATTATTCGTTGCTGCATGCACTGACACTTATCGTGTACCTAATATTATCCTATCTTTATACGCAAATCATCTATGTGATAACCGTCATTTGTATCCTGAACCATGGCAAATTTTAATGTGCAGAGCTACTACAACTGCTGAAGATATTTCACTTTTCATCAAAAGATGTTTTCTTGCTTCAAAAAATGGTTACAAGGATTACTTATTTTGTATAGCAGGTTTAGAACTTCTTGAATTCGAATTACAATATAAATTAGTTAATGATGTACGACAATATCAAGAAACTAAAGAAGATTATTATTTGGCTTTGATTTGTTGTCGAGAAAATGGTGTTCATCATCATATTCTTGATCAATTTTCGGATCGAGTATGCACAACAAATGGTCTTGGAGGAAATACTATGACGAATATGTATAAAGAACTTTGTCCAAACGCGTTTTGTGTTACTTCTAATCTATCTGGCCAAGGAAAAACTGAATATATAAGAAATTCTAGTTTTAAGAGTAATTTAGTTGTACGAAGCTTATTAATAAGTGATAACATTCGTTTCGATGAACTAGTTCGAAAGCTAAATGAATGTAAACTTCGACAAATAGAAAGTATGCACCTAAACATTGTGTCGGTTGATTATCCTAATGATGTCAACGTTTTTCTTTTTGAGCTTTTAACACTCAGATTTGTCTCAAGCAAAACGGACATTGTTTGCCTTCCAGAATGTATGTACATCGAGGTTGCGTCAACGGATAATGAACGTTTATTAAATTCAATCCCGGTTGTTCAATACCTTAATAGAGTGCACATGAATTGGAATATAAAAGATTTTGCAGTATCACGAGAAATTTCTAGTCCAATTCAAGTAGTATCCCATTATTTAGATATATATGATAAAAATCAACTTAATGAAAAAGATATTATATTTACCGGACCGAGACGTGTGAATAATACCATAGAACCAGAAAGATGTCATGAATTAGTACAAAAATACTTTTTGAATGCTAAAAATGAAAATGTTGCATCATATCGTTTTGTAGAAATTTTTTTAAAAGTATTTGCTGATCAATTGGTTCGTTTATCATCAAGTTCTTTCTTCACAGTTGATAATCTTAAACTTATGGTGGGAGATAAAAATATTCGTACAACATTGGTGAAAACTTTACTTGAAGTTTCTAAAGATTTTGCCGCACGCTCAATTGCTACAAAAATTGCACAATTAGAATCAACTATGAATGCGGGTAATGATCAATTGGAAACAATAGTTCAATGGGATGCTTCTAATCATCTCTTGGTATTCTTTTTGTCTCAAACTCCGGATTCTATTTGTGCTCTTTATCGTAATCGAAATAATGTCCCAAATAATGTGAAACAACTGATATTGAGTCAAGAAATTAATGATTTCTCTCAACATGAAGATCTAAAAGCTTGGGAATTGGATGATTATCATACTATGTCTGCAAGTTCTTTATTAGAGAAATTAGAACGTATAGCACGAAAATCGATGGGTAAATTGAAGTTACCTAGTTACGCATTGTCGGCTGACAATCTTCTTAAAATGGCCCTGATTTTATTAAGAGCTCGAGCAAATATTCCAGCAGTCATATGTGGAGAAGCAGGTTGTGGAAAGGTATGTAAAATTCTTGTAATAAAATCCTAAAAGTAAAATCTTAAAATAATTTTAATCGTTCTAATGTTTTTTAACATAGACGAGCCTTATTGGCTTTCTAGCAGCTGTTGTGGAAGTTAAATTTAGAGTACTTTCACTTCACGCCGGTGTGCAAGAAGATCAGATCCGTGAATTCATCGAAACAAGCACTCAATTTGCCAAGAATGGCCAAATATGGTTATTCTTTGATGAAATCAATACTTGTAATCACATTGGACTTCTTGCAGATTTAATAGCTCATAGAACTTTGTTAGGCAGACCAATACATTGGAATATTCGTTTGTTTGCTGCATGTAATCCTTATCGACTTCGTAAAAAAAGCTTAAGTAGTGTAGGCTTGGAAAAAAATTATCAAGAGATGAGTAAATTGGTTTATCAAGTACATCCTCTACCAAATCAAGTTTTGGATTATATATGGGATTATGGATTTCTCAAATCTGAAGAGGAGAGGGTATGTATATTTCTTAAATTTTGAAATTTTGTTATTTTGGCCTTATAATTATTGAAAAACTTTTTATTCTATAATTTACATAGGAATATATCAAGATAATGGTAGAAAGTCGAATAGGTGCACATCCAGTATTCGTAGAACTTCTTTGCGAATCACAAAAATTCATTCGTAGTGTTGAAGAACCATACACTGTCAGTTTACGTGATGTAAAGAGGGCGATCAAATTGGCTATATGGTTCCAAAAAAGTTTGAATGAACGACCACCAGTTATGAAAACTAGTAGTATTTCATTCTTTTCGAAAACTGCGAGCTATCCACCAAAAGACAAAAAAAAATTGATACGTTGTAGTTTTGTTTTATCACTTGGACTTTGTTATCAATCACGTTTGTATGATCAAGATTTACGAAAAAAATATCGAGAGCGTATGTCAAAGATTTTCAGCAAACATGGAGAAAGACTTAATGCTACAGAATTTCAAATGATAATTCGAAGAGAACAAGAAGATTTTATGCAGCGAATGGTGATCCCTCCATCAACAGCTGATAATGAGGCACTTTTAGAGAATGTTCTTGTGATGATTGTTTGCATATTGAATAGAATCCCTGTTTTTATTATTGGCGCTCCTGGAAGGTTAGAAATATGCTAAATAATATAATTAATATAAATAATATTGACGTTAATCTTATATTTAATTCAGATTATTTTTATTAACATTCATATTTTATATTGTCATATATTTGCACTTTTACCATTTACAGCTCAAAATCTTTAGCAGTAAGACTTATTAGTTCAAATTTCAGAGGAGCAGATTCTGAGGACGAATATTTCAAAACATTACCACAGGTAAATTTTATAATGTTTTAGCGCATCCTACCACAAATTATCACAAATTACCACAAATTACCATAAATTACTATTCTAATTAATATATGATCTCTATAAGGTCTACTTTATACCACATCAAGGTTCTGCGTCATCAACTTCGGCCGGTATCGTCAAAGTTTTTGATAAAGCGAAAAACTATCAAAAAACAAGTTCAAAAGCATATCCTGTTCAAGCTGTAGTCCTTCTTGATGAAGTTGGTCTTGCAGAAACTAGCCGATTTAACCCCTTGAAAGTTCTTCATGCTCTTTTAGAACCTGGTTTCTCTAGAGAAGACGCTGCAGATATGGCAATTGTTGATGAGCCTACAAAAGAAAATTCTAAGGAAAACTCAATAGAAAACTCTAAAGAAAGTTCAGAAGAAAATTCAAAGGAAAATTCAAAAGAAATCCCAAAAGAAAATTCAAAAGAGAATTCTAAAGAAAATTCAAATGAAAACTCAAAAGAAATTTCAAATGAAAACATAAAAGAGAATTCAAAAGATTTAGAAATTTCGGAAGTCAGTAATGAAGACTCACTAATATCAAACAGTAGCAAAAAATATCTTAAAGAACCATCACCTTCAGGTAGTAAAAAAGACTTTAAAGATGACCCAGATGTGTCAGTTGTGGGTATTAGTAATTGGCGTTTAGATAACAGCAAGTCGAGCAGAGCGTTACTTGTACAAAGACCAAAATTCGGCATTGAGGACCTTATCTTAACAGCCTCCATGCTCTTGGATGACAAAACTAAAAATGGTATCACAGAATCCAGACTTAGACAACTTGCAGAAGCTTACCTTGATTACGAAAAAAGCCAAAAATATAAAAACTTTCATGGTAAATTCATCTTATAACATAGTTGATTTCTGAAAAAAAAAAGTATTAAACTATAAATTGACTTAACTAGGACTTCGTGATTACTATGCATTGGTGAAAAGTCTTAGTGGCTCTGATCTGACAAGTGAGATTTTTTTTTTTTATATTATGTATCCATTTACAGTTTACACGTACTTTACATACTTTAAGATGCTAACTTTTATTTTATTTGTAAATTAGTGAGCACATTGGAACTAGGATTGATAAGAAATTTTGGAGGAACCGATCAGACAAAATTAATATGCGAAAAATATTTTGGCAAAGTCTTAAATTCTTTTAATAGTAACAAGAACTATAAATACACACCAATTCCTGTTGAACGGCTCATAAATGAAAATCTAAATCGAAAAAATACGCGACATTTAATGGTCATAGGGAAAAGTGACTCTCTAGTTAATATCTTAACTTATCACGTACGAACTCAACAATTGGATCCTGTTGTGCTTTGCGGTTCTCAATTTCCCGATGACGGTGATGGTGATTATTTGTATGCCGTTTTGAGCAGGATAATGGTAAATACATGACAAATTAATCTTATCTTAAAACATATCTTACATCAGATACTAATTATCAATAATAATTAATTCATCTTCCAGATGTGTGTTGAAGCAGGAAGACCTTTGATTCTCACGGATTTAGACATTATCTATGGTACGTACGTTCTTTTCTTATTAACAAATATTTAATTGTCCTAAATAATAAATAAATTTACTTTTACAGGAAGTCTTTATGATTTGTGGAATCAGAATTATATCACTCTTGGCAGTCGCAAGGACACAAAGTTTTTCACACGCGTTGCACTTGGTGCTTATTCTAACCCAATGTTATACGTACATCCAGACTTCAAATGCATCCTAATAATGGATGAGAGTAAACTTGAATATACTGATCCACCTCTTCTCAATCGATTTGAGAAACAACGATTGACAATTAATGATATACTTTCTGAACACCATCATGAACTTTGTGATGCTTTGTTTAAATGGGTTCGTCAGATATCAACAGTACAGGGAGTTGCAGCAAATGAGTTCACCGAAAAAGATATTTTTGTAGGATTTAATAAGGATGAAACCATTCAGAGTTTAATATTCGACCAGTGTAAAATGGAAGAAAAAGATGGAGATGATGAATTAGCATTAAGAAGATGTAAGGAAAGATTAATAGCTATTGCCTCATCAGACGGTATTGTCCGAGCAAAAAAATCTCTTTTGTTCATGCAAAAACCCCAAGAAGTCAATGAGTTGTATGATTCCTATTTTAATAGTGGGATAC